AAGCTCTGTATTCAAGGGGAGATTTTGCTCTGGTTTCTGTCCACTTTTTCACCAGGTTCCTCAAGGTCTTTTACCACATATGTGTAGTTTAGCTTTTGGCCAGAGACCTGGACAGAGTTTATACTCAGAGTTTTATACTTCTTCTGTGGTTTTTCTGCTGCCAGTACTTTTCCTGTAGACTTCTAGCTACTTTTCAGCCTTGAACTCCAATCTGTGGAGCCCTTAGCTGGTAAGGCTGTGGTTTTTCCACGGCTGTTTTTCACAGCCCTAGCTGTGAGGGTTGGACATCACCTTCGGATGGGGAAGATATAAACTTGAAATTCCTACTCCTTCCTGTGGCAGTTTTTAAGATTAAACTCTCCTGCTTCTATCTGCTTTTGAATTCTCTCCATGGTCTTTAAATAGTTCTTCTTTAAAATAGTTTTTTTTTGTTTTTTTCCCCCCCCCCAAACTTGTTTTTATCATTGTTATCAGTGGGAACATTTCAAAACCACTTCAATCCTCTGCCATTTCTGGAAGTTTCTGCCTATTGGGTTTTTAATTTCAATGTCTCCATTTTTCATTTGAAGTTGTATTTAGTTACTTTCTGAATTAAATCTGCTAGTGTTTATGATAGCCTGTTTATTTCTCAATTTTAAGTCCTTTTTGAAAAATGTATTGGATCATTTTAAAGATGCTTATTTTATGGCCTGTATCCAGTCAGTGTCCTGAAGCTCTTGAATGTTCAGTATCTGAAGCTCTTGCATGTTCAGAAGTATGGTTGGTGTGTCTGCTGGCTCTCTCTCATTTAACTTTTTGTAAGTAATTTTTGGATTATGAGCTATTGATAGGGGTGCAGTAAACATGGAAACACCAAGCATCCTGATTTAGGGCTTTAGATCTACAGGGAGGCTTTTCTTTGCTGTCACCTGGTGTCCCAGGAATATCACAGACCTCTTTCTTATGTGAATTTCTAAGGCTAAGGGTTCCTAGACCAAGCAGGTATAACTTTGTAGCCCAAATCTTCTTGAAGACAGGCTCATGATTATAAAGTCTTAGAGAACTTTCTTCATGGCACAAGGTTGAAGACAGCTGCATCCTCAGGCCAATGAATAGGCTATTTTTTTTTTGATCCATCCCTTCTCTGACTAGAGTGTAGTTCTTCGAAACTCCTGGTTAACAGATGTCTCAATTGCAGTTCCTGCCTACCTTCAGCTCAAGACCTAGTTTCCTACCTGCCCCCACTCCCTGAGGAGTTTAAAAACCTCATCTACTTGACTAATGAACCCCCAGTACTGCCCACCCACTGCTATGATTTTTAAATTTTCCTCTTTGATTTGACTGTCTACTTTGGGAATTTTAAAACAGAAGTAAAAAGAATAGTATAATAAACACTCATACACCCACTGCTTAACAACTTACATTAGAGTTTTCCAGAGAACCAGAAGCAACAGGGAGTGTGTATGTGTATCTGTGTGTATGAGATAGTTAGATATTTATTTTAAGGAATTGGCTTGCACGATTGTGGAGGCTGGCAAGTCCATCATACCTGCAGGGTATGATGGCAGGCTGAAAACTCAAGAGCATGGTAGTACTTGCCTGTAGTCCCAGCTACTTAGGAATCTGAGGTGGGTGGATCCCTTGAGGCCAGGAATTTGAGGTTGCAGTGAGCTATGATCATGCCACTGCACTCCAGCCGGGAGACAAAGTGAGACTCTCATCTCAAAATAAATAAGGAAAAAAATACCTAAAGGAAGAGCTGATGTTGTAGTTTGAGTGTGAAAGCTGTCTGCTGGCATAATTCCTTCCTCCTCAAGGGAGGTCCATCTTTTTCCTATTGAGGCCTTCAGCTGATTGGATGAGGCCCACCCGCATTATGGAGGAGACTCTGCTTTACTCAAAGTCTAATTGAGTGTTAACCTTACATAGCATATACCTTTACAGAAGTATCTAGAATAATACTTGACCAAATATTGGTGGACTGTGGCCTAGACACATTGACACATAAAATTAACCACTATACAACTTAATAATAATTCCCTAATATCCTTCAATAAATCCTTAATAATTTTTAAATATCATTTAATATCCATTTCATACTCACATTCCTCCAATTTTTTCAAAATTGTCTTTCATAGTTGTATTTTGCAAATCAAGTTCCAGTCAAAGACTGGATTAAATGAATTAAATAATTCATTTAATTATTGCATCTTTTAATTCTTCCTTAATTTAAAACAAGTGGAAGAAATCTTCCAGAGAATATGACAAAAAAACACCAAAAGATGGAAAATAAGAGAGAGATAGAAAAAAAAGAATATTAAAGGATCAAATCAGGAAGTCAAGCTTCTACTAACAGTAGAGCTGGGTTGGCAGGGGATACTTAATAAATGGATAGGAGACAATTAGCTAAGAAATTGTACCAGAGAATTTCCTAGAACCAAAGGACGTACGTTTCTGGATTGGAAGGGCCCACCACAAACTCAACACAGTGAATAAAAATATTCACACTAAGGCTCACTATTAAAACATTTCAAACATTAGAGGCAAAGAAGATACTGAAAACTGCCAGAGGAAAAGAAGGCATGCCATGTAATTGATCAGAAATCAGAATGACATCACACTTTTTCATTTCAGTACTCTTAGGGGATAAAAGAACAATGTCTTCATGTTTATGAGGGAGAATAATTTCCAACTGAACTTTCCATACCCAGCCAGACTGTCACAAAAGTGAAAGGCTAGAGTGAAGACATTTTCATGACAAAGCCCCTTTTTGAAAAGGGACTTTCCATGTACCATTTATAAAAAAGCTACTGGAGGATATTTTAAAAGATGGGTAGGTGGGTGAAGAATAAATCAAGAAAGAAGATTCTGTGGGATCCTAGAACAGCCAGTCAAAAACAGGAGGGAGTTATAAGGAATCCCAGGAAAATCGTGGAGGGAAACCACGGGGTGACTGCCTTGCAGGAGGCCCTGAGAACAGCCTCATGAATTGGAGAAAGAGATTGGAGGGCTTCAGAATGGGTATTGCAATGAAAATTTGAAGTCATAAGCAATGTAGTTGACTGTACTGAGAGACTTTTTAGAGTTTTACCAGAAAGTTTGGGCCTGAATTAATGACTTTATTTTTTTTGAGACGGAGTCTCGCTCTGTTGTCCATGCCAGAGTGCAGTGGCGTGACCTCAGCTGACTGCAACCTCCGCCTCCTAGGTTCAAGCAGTTCTCCTGCCTCAGCCTCCTGAGTAGCTGGGACTACAGGCGCCTGCCACCATGCCCAGCTAATTTTTTGAGTTTTTGGTGGAGACAGGGTTTCACTGTGTCAGCCAGGATGGTCTCGATCTCCTGACCTTGTGATCCGCCAGCCTTGGCCTCCCAAAGTGCTGGGATTACAGGCGTAAGTCACCGCGCCGGGCCTGAATTAATGATAAGCAGGTTGAAAATGGTGGCAATAAAAACCAGACACTGCTGTAAGAAAAGAAACACAATCATCTGTGTGGTCTTTATACAACTAACAGTTACATAGTTTTACTATGTAAACATTGGATGTTGATCTAACCAATGGTGTGCTGTGGCTACATAGGGAGAGTGCAAATGGCCCTGGGATGCAGTGGAGTCTATGTATATACATCTGGCTGGCGGATAGGGCAAGAAGCTAAATCCTTATTTCCCATAATGAAGCCAATAGATACTGTTTAATATTGAAGAAAAATTAGGAAATACAATGTCAACATGATATTTAGAAATACAAAGGTATCAAAAGAAGTATCTAGAGGAAATGAAAGTAGTTGCCTCTGGGAGCAGAAAGTGGGTGCAACGGGAGGGGAGGCTGCTGTGTTTTGTTATAAACCCTATAGTACCATATGACTTTTTAAACTATGGATCTGCATTCATTTGATAATATTTTAAAATAAAAAGTTTAAAATTCATTAATTTAAGATTTTGTTCGTTTTGCGGTAGGATCTCACTCTGTCACCCAGGCTGGAGTGCAGTGGTGCAATCCCAGCCCACTGCAGCCTCAACCTCCCAGGCTCAACAGATCCTCCCACCTTAGCCTCCCAAGTAGCTGGGACTATAGGCATGTGCCACCACACCTGGTTAAGTTTTGTATTTTTTTAGAGAGGGGATTTTGCCACATTGCCCAGTCTGGTCTCAAACTGCCGGGCTCAAACAATCCTCCCGCCTCAGCCTCCCAAGGTGCTGGAATTACAGGCATGAGCCACCATGCCCACCCTAATTTCCGATTTTAAAATACTCTTAGTAACTTACTGTGGCGCACATCACCATGCAGTATAACATCATCATGCTGGTGAAGTTCTAAGTCATCGTCACCTTCTTCAGGACAGGATATTCTACTCCTAAATTTTCATTGTCCAGTTCAGTAGCCACTAGCCATGCATTGCTATTTCAATTTAAATTAATTAAAATTACATAAAGTTCAAATTTTAATTCTTCAGTCACACAATTCACATTTCCAAGTGCTCAAGAGTCACATGTAGCTAATGACTACTATACTGTGCAGCACAGGTATCATTTCCATCATTACAGAAAATTCTACGGACAGTACTGCCCTAAATTGTTCTCAGATTTATCCCTTCTTCCCAGCATGTTGCTATTCTCTCTGAGGCAATATAGAGTAGTGACGGAAGGTGTGGACCCTGGACTCGGAATACGTGAGCTCAAGTATGGGTGTCATCATTTACTTGCTGTGTGACTTTGGATATATCATATAACCTCTTGATGCTTCAGTTTCCCCATCTATAAGATGAAGATACTAAGAGCATCATCACCTCCTGAGGGTTGTAAGGGTAGACTGTGATAATGTATTTATATTAAGTGCTTAGCACCATGCCTGGCCCATGGGAAACACCCAGTAAAGGTTGCCTGCTGCAATTACTCTTCCTCCTCCTCCTCTCCAACTCCCCATATCCTGTCAGCCACTTCTGAGCTCACATGCAGCCCTGAAGGACAGTTCCCAATCAAACTCAAACTTCCCACCTCAAAGCTCACCCCTTTCTCTCCCCAAGGACTTCCTCAGGTGCTCCAGGAGCTTGTCATTCCAGAGGCAGAGCAGCCCAGAAGTCCTGCGATTTACACCTCCAGTAGAAACCCTCAACCAGAGAAGGATGGAAGTCAATGGGTAAGTACCCCAGCTTCCCTTGCTGGGCAATTCTGGGGTGTTTCCTCCACAGTCCCTCAGAACGCCCCCATTGGAGTTGAGGCCAGTTTTCTACAGCAGTCACCTGCTTAGGGATATGCCTTTTTTTGGCCCTTCACCCTTCCATGTCTGCCTTTCTCCTCCCTCAACTTGCACTTCTTGGACTTTCCTCTCAACCTGCACCCAAGTCATGGTCTCAGGGTCTGTTTTTGGGGGACCCACGCCAAGACTGTCATTATCATCATCATCACTGACAATTCATTTTCTTTCTTTCTTTTTTTTGAGACAGAGTCTTGTTTTTTTGCCCAGGCTGGAGTGCAGGAGCATGATCTCAGCTCACTGCAACCTCTGCCTCCTGGGTTCAAGTGATTCTCATGCCTCAGCCTCCTGAGTAGCTGGGATTATAGGCATGTGCCACCACGCCCAGATAATTTGTGTATTTTTAGTAGAGATGGGGTTTCACCATGTTGACCAGGCTGGTCTCAAACTCCTGGCCTCAAGAGATCCTCCTGCCTCGGCCTCCCAAAGCACTGGGATTACAGGCATGAGTCACTGCACCCAGCCAATTTATTTTCTCCTTATCTCAAGACTAACCTCCTGCAGGAGCCTCCTGGTTGATTTTCCCACCTTCTTTTCCACAGTACAGCTAGAGCTATCTCAGTTTAATCAAAATGTCAAGTTATGACTTACCTGCTTCAAATCTCCACTGGTTTCTTCTTGCCCAAAGGCAGAGTGGAAGCTTAGTCCTGCAATAAAGAACCTTCCCAAATTCTCCTGATTTGTGAAGTAAGTTTCCTGCTTTATCAGCTTCACCTCTGGCAAGTTGGGCTGCTCAACATCCTTTAAACCTGCTGTTCTTGTACTTGGGCCCAAACCCGTGCTGTGTCTTCTGACTGGAGTCCTAATAATAGCAGTAATAGTAAATACTCATGGACCACTTTCCCTGTGCCTTGCAGTGTTTCTGTGCATCTGCATGGCTTAGTTCACTGAATCCTCATGCCAACCAAGTGAAGAAGCTTACACTATTCTCCCCGTATTAGAGATAGGGAGACCAAGTCTTACGGAAATCACAAATACAGTAGTAGCATCAGAGGACTCCAGAGCTTGTGCCCTCTACTTGGCAGGAAAGCGACGTCACACACACATAGTTAACTCACAGGAAAGAAACTTTACTTAGCAGAGAGAAAAGAAAAAGTTGCAGTTAATAGTGTAGGTGATCTGCTCATCCTTCTACTCCTTGCATTTGTGCTCCGAGGGCAGTGAGAGGTGAGGTGGGAGTCTGCTGTTGCCCCAGTTTTCTGGGCCTCTCATTCCAGGAGCACTTCTTGGCTAAGGGTGATGATGGTGCTTAATTATTCACTATATTCATAGGATGTAGCCCCCAAGCACATGTCAGTGACTTCCTCTAGTGCCCAGCTGAGGAAGCAGTGATCTGTGATCTGTTTCCATGTGGAAGGAAGGAATGGCCATGTTGGATTGGCCCAAGGATGGTACATGCGTCTCCCTGCAGGCTTGTCGGGGGTGACTTTGACCACATGTGACTCCCTTTTGTGCGCGATTCTTTGGTATCTAATCCATGAGTGAGGTGAGACTCCATGGTCCTGCTTCCTTTTCCTACTTCCCCACCTGGTAGACACCTGCTGTCTTTGTCTGGGCTGCTGTAAAAACATACCACAGACTGAATAGCGTGTAAGAAATTTATTGTTCACAGTTCTGGAAGCTGGGAAGCTCAAGATCAAGGCACCAGCAGGTTTGCTGTCTGGCAAGGGCCCACTTTCTAGTTCGTAGAAAGTGGTTCATGGCTCCTTCTGGCTTTGTCCTCACAGTGGAAGAGACAAGGCAGTTCCATCAGGCCTCTTTTATACTGGCGCTAATTCCTTTAGGAGGTAGGTCCTCCCAAAGGTCCTACCTCCTAACGCTATCACACTGGTGATTCGGTTTCAACACATGAATTTTGGGGACATGTGAACGTACAAACCGTAGTGCCTGCTTGTCTCTTCTGATAGAGCTGAAACGTTACTCCTCTGGGAAGTCTTCCCTAACTCCCCTGAGTAGAATTTTTCCTCCTACCTGTGTTCTGGTAGCATCCAGTCCATATTCCTCTTAGTGCTCTCCTGTTACATTCTAATGATTTGTTCGTATATCACGTTCACCAGCCAAATTGTGAGTGTGAACCTCTTAATAGTGTCGGTTTTTTGTTCTCTGGATTCTCTGGTGTCTGTTACAATCCCTTCTTCCAAACCAGGAATTCAGAAAGTACTTTATTGTTTGGTTGTCAGGAAGGCAGATCTCCTGTCCATGCCTTTTAAACTTTATTTATTTATTTTTTCTGAGACAAGAGTCTCACTCTGTCACCCAGGCTATAGTGCAGTGGCACGATCTCAGCTCACTGCAACCTCTGCCTCCCAGGTTCTTCTTGTGCCTCAGCCTCCCGAATAGCTGGGATTACAGGCATGCACCACCATGCCTGGTTAATTTTTGTATTTTAGTAGAGATGGGGTTTCTCCATGTTAGCCAGGCTGGTCTCGAACTCCTGACCTCAAATGATCCACCTAGCTCGGCCTCCCTAAGTGCTGGGATTACAGGTGTGAGCCATCACACCTAGCCCCATGCCTTTTAGAAAAAGGAATGAGATCAATTCAGAGTGGTTATTATAAAGAATCAGTCATGTTTCTTATAGAACCTGGAATACCAAAAATATTTTGTCTCTATTCTCTTTATTTCCCTTTGGTTTATTTGTCTTTTCCATGGGATCACTATGTGACCTTAGGATGCTAAGGAGCTAGTTTCTGCAAAGTAATGTGAGCTGTTGAGTTTTCTTCCTTAGATCTATAAAAACATATGTATATTATCTATTTTCATACCCAGATTAAGACATTGCCTCCAGCCAGCCAATTCCCCCTCTCCTGTCCCTGAATCATGAAACTGGCAACATCTCTGAAAAGTTTCCTAGTTGTCTTCTGTTTTTGTAGCTTGTGAAAGATGTGGTTTTTAGTTGTGTGATTCTTTTTAGGCTGCTTCATTTGTTTTTGGACTGAATAGTAGCATAGCTACCCAAACTTGGACAGAAACATCAAATTCAGAATCTCTGGAAGTACAGCAATAAGAAGCTAATTACTTCATGTTTTCGATATGAATGAGACTCAAGATACAGAATAGAATCACTGCTTCCCTGTTCTAACTCCCACCTCAGCTATGCTGGCAAACTTTGTTTTTCCTTTTGGGTTTAAGGGAATATGTTGGGAATAAAAAGCATTTTCCTCTACTCCACCTGCTGAATGGAATGAATAAAAGCCTCCATGAAAGATCTAAGTATTTAGCAAATACAACTTCAGTTTCCAAAGTTTCATGTCTGAAATAAATTTCAGAGTTTCAGATTTGAGTCCAGGCCAGATACATGCAAGTTGATACTGATTATTTGTGTCTTTTGGCAGAGGGTCTAGGGAAGTGTTATAATTCAGCTGTGTGGGGAGACAGGATGATCGTGTATATGTGGCTTCTACGTGGTTGTCTGCAGATGGTGGAGAATGGAGTCTACCAGCTTCCCTCTTCTATCACTGGCTTCTACCTCCCTGGCTGACCTCCCTTCATCCCCTGCCACCCCTTGCTTTCTATACTTGAGCCTCACTGGCATTATGCTTTTTCCTGCCACAGGGCCTTGGCATATGTTGCTGCCTCTATCTGGAGTGTTCTTCACAAGTCTTGCCATATCTCTTTAACTAGTCAACTCTTACTCTTCCTTCAGATAGCAGCTCACTTCCTGGGGGAAGCTCTTAAGTGAAATGAAGTAAAATCCTCTTCTTATATGGTCTGAGGATACCGGATACTTCTTTGCAAGCAGCTGTGACAGTTGCAGTTTTACATTTCTCTGTGTGATTCCTTGGGTAAATTACTTCCTAAAGTGTGGTATATGTATGACAGGACAGATGATATGTGGATGTCCTTTTATGATGTTAAAGTTATTGTTTATTTTAATGTGTATTAGAAGAAATATCTATATAGTACTACCAGTAATGAATACTTATACTTTTATGAGTGTTTTTGCATACAATGGGCCTTAAAGTAGATAAAACAATCCATCTTACATAAACTATATGAATTAGAAGTACCATAATCAGACTTCATTTTGCCCCCATGATTCAATTACCTCCCATCAGGTCCTTCCCATGACACATGGGGGTTATGGGAGTTACAATTCAAGATGAGATTTGGGTGGGGACACAGCCAAACCATATCATGGGCTGGTCTTGAACTCCTGGGCTTAGGCAACTTCACTTCATTTCACTTAAGAGCTTCCCCCAGGAAGTGAGCTGCTATCTGAAGGAAGAGTAAGAGTTGACTAGTTAAAGAGATATGGCACGGCTTGTGAAGAACACTCCAGATAGAGGCAGCAGCATATGCCAAGGCCCTGTGGCAGGAAGAAGCATGATGCCAGTGAGGCTCAAGTATAGAAAGCAAGGGGTGGCAGGGGATGAAGGGGGGCCATTATGGTATTTCCAATTCATATAGTTCATATGGCAAAAATTTTGGAAGCAGTATGCAAATGGCTGAAATTTGAGAAATGATGTGTTCATCAATATCTGTCTCCCTTTATGAGCGTGTAAGCTCCAGGAAAGAGGTTTTCTGTGCACCCTTGCACCCACCAGACCTAGTACATATTTAGGTTTTAAGAAATATTTGTTGAAAAAATGGACAAGTGATTGAATGAAAAACCTAGTGATTTAACAAGTGCCCCTCCCAAGTAACATTGGGACAGGTGATTAGAAAGAAGGTTAAGGTTTTATTGAGGATCATCCATATAGATTGCAGGCAGGGGATAGGATGGAGCTTTGTAGACTTAGAGTGTTCAGCTTCAGATGCCCAGAGACTTGGCAGTCACAGGGCTGCAGGGGACCATGCCTGTTACCCTACTCAGAACAGTTCAATAGCATCCTGGGCAGGTATTGTCACATGATAGATTCCTTGGGAAGCAGACTCTGAGA